AGCATCCAGGGGTGACACGGGGGGGGGGTGAAAGGACCTCGATCTTGTGTTCATGAAGCAACACTTGAGGAAGGGGAAGGAAGTGAGGCATCTCTCTGATCTGAGAGCCGGATGAGACCACCTGTGTGGGTGTGGAGCAGAGTCCAGGGCTCTGAAACCAAACTCCTCACTCTCAAGCCTCCTTCCCCTGCTTTCACACTGTGTGACTTCAAGACAGGTCCTTGTCACCTCTGAGCTGCATATGTTACTGATCCCATCTACCTAGCTAGGTGGTCATGATAATTGGGCGAGGGGCATGTGGGTCTCTTTTGCCTCTTGTCCATTTTCCTTCTCATCAGCCTCAGTCACATCTTTCACTTTGGAGCCACAATAAGTGAGAACCACATCTTTCTACTATCCTCCCTTCTCATGTGGTTTTATCAGCCTATTTAACATTAACCTTTCCCTTTCCCAGGGCAGCGTTTTGTCTATTTCAAGCCAATCAATAAATACATACTAAAAAATGGAGTTTTATCAAACCCCTCTTCATTTCAGAGACACATATCAAGGCTTAGACAGCTGACAGCTTGGCAAAATAGACAATTCTTTCACTTTCTAAGGTAAGGTGATGTTTTAGGAGCCTTTTTCTTTGTTTATTTTTGGTTTTGTTTTGTTTTTGGAGACAGGGTTTCTCTGTGTAGCTTTGCGCTTTTCCTGGATCTCATTCTGTAGACCAGGCTGGCCTTGAACTCATAAAGATACGCCTGCCTCTGCTTCCCAAGTGCTGGGATTAAAGATGTGCGCCACCACTGCCCGGCCTTTAAGAGCTTTACAACACGAAGGGGTCATTGACTCAAGGGTCAGATCATCAGGGTTAAAAATCAACACCCTAACTGTCATCCTAGAGCCTTTCTCCAGTAACTGGTGGAAGCAGATGCAGAGATCCACAGCCAAGCACCAGGCCAAGCTCCAGGAGTCCAGTCGAAGAGAGAAAAGAGGGATTCCATAAGCAAGAGGCATCAAGATCTTGATGGGGAAACCCACAGAGACAACCAAACCAAACTAGTGGGAACTCATGAACTTTAGACCAACAGCTGTGGAGCCTCCATGGAACTGGACTAGGCTCTCTGCATAAGCCAGACAGTTGTGTAGCTTGATCTGCTTAAGAGGCCCCCTGGCAGTAGGATCAGAATCCATTCCTGGTACATGAGCAGGCTCTTTGGAGCCCACTACCTATGGTGGAACACCTTGCACAGCCTTGAGGCACGGGGAGGGGCATGGACTCGCCTCAGCTGAATGTACCAGGATCTGCTGACTCCCCATGGGAGGCCTTACCTTCTCATAGGAGGGAATGGGGGGTGGATCGGGGGTGTGTGGAGGGGCGGGAGGAGGGAAGAGAAGGATCTGTGATTGGCATGTAAAATGAATAAAAAAAATTTCTTAATAAAAAAAAATCAAAACCCTTAAAAAAATCAACACGTGTGGTAAGATCACCATACTCTTGTCTCCTTTAATACGCAGGGCCGCAGCGCCCTCTGCTGGTATCTGGGTACCTGGTTTTTTGCGGCCGTTCTCGGTGGGCCAGGTCAAAGAACCATGATGGCACCACAAATGTCTAGGTCCAAAGTCCAGCTCAGCCACCGTTGAGTTTGGAGTGCTGTTGGAAGGGGAAGCCGTGTGAGTAAAGTAAGTAAATGATTTACATGTGGTCCCTTCAGACTCTAACAGCAGAGCTTGAACTTGGTCCGGCTTCTGGATCACTGCTAAGCTGCTTGTTAGCTTAGAGACAGATTGCTGGGCTGGGTGTGTGGCTCAATGGTAGAGTGCTTGCCTAGGATGTGTTAAGGCCCTGTGTTCTATCCATCGCAACACAGATCCCACCTCTGTGCTTTTCATTCAGTGAATCCAACCACTTCCCAGGTAATGCCCATGGCTCTGGCATATAAAGAACCACCACTCTGAAAACCGGCCAGATGAGCATCCCTTTTCAGGTCTGCACCCAGTTCAGCATCAAGGGCATCCCCACAGCACCCTCAGCTGTCCTTAGAATGGGTACACATGGCAGGTAGGACTGTAGACGGATTTCTAAACAGTCTTATTAAATAAGAAAGACAGAGCCAAATACAGAGGTAATAGCCAAAGAGATCAGAGGAGAGCCACGACTACCTTATCTTACCACCTCGCCGTGAAATTTGTCTACATAGGACAGCACATTGTGCATAATAATTTGCAAAAGCAAAGTATCAATTCTTGCCAGGTGGTGGTGGTGGCGGCGGCGGCGGCAGCGGCGGTGGCAGTGGCGGCGGTGGCGGAGGCGGAGGCGGAGGCGCATGCCTTTAATCCCAGCACTCGGGAGGCAGAGACAGGCAGATCTCTGAGTTCAAGGCCAGCCTAGTCTACAGAACTAGTTCCAGGACAGTCAGGGCTACACAGAGAAACCCTGTTTCAAAAAACCAAAAAACAAAAAACAAAAAAAAAACAACCCAAGACATCAGTCTTATGTTCCAAATGCTTCTCTTCTCCTACTCACACCTGCCCTGTAGCTAAAGGTAACCTTGAACTGCTGATCCTCCTGCCTCCACCTTCCAAGTGCTGTGATAGCAGAGGTGCACTACATGGTGGTTTATGTGGTGCTGAGTTCAAACTGTGCTTCCTGATGGAAAAGATGGAGAGGAAGGAGCCCCTCGAGGTGGGGCATGAGCAGGGACCAGCTCACAAAGTGTCTGTTATGGAAAAGCTCCAAACCTCCTGGAAGGAGGCCAGGGAAAGTGAGCTCAATGACTTAAGAAGTGAAGACTGGCTTGCTATCCACAGTCAAAATGCCAACTGTTCTGAATGCCTGGGACTTCCATTTTTTTGTTTGCTAATATTTCTGTCATAAATCTAAGTAGTCATAAAGGATGTATCAGAAACATGGACATCTTAAAAAAATGTTTAGGTCAGTATGATTGCTCAGCTGGTAAATGAGCTTGCTGCCATACCTGACGACCCGAGTTCAACACCCCAGGTCCCTCATGGTAGAAGGAGAGAAACATGGTAACAAGGAGTGTTAGAGTTATCTGCCCCCGCCACACACACACCATAAAATATATGCATGCTGGAGATAAATTGGGTTGGCAGAGTGCTTACATACAGGAAGCCATGGGTCCCATCCCCTGCACCTTATATACTGTATGGCAGCACATGTCCATAATTTAGTGCATTTGGAAGGTGGAGATAAATTCAAGGTCGGCCAGGCCATGGTGTCGCAGGCCTTTAATCCCAGCACTTGGGAGACAGAGACAGGTGGACCTACGTGAGTTCGAGGATAGCCTGGTCTATAGAACAAGTTCCAGGAACAGGCTCCAAAGCTACAGAGAAAAAATGTTCAAGGTTATCCTTAGCTACATAGCAAGTTGGAGGCCAACCTGGGTTATGCAAGACCCTTAAAAAAATGGGCTGGTGAGACAGTTCAGGAGGTAAAGGTGCTTGTTGCCATGACTGACGGCGTGAGTTGGATTCCCAGAACCCACCTGCAGGAAGGAGAGAATCAACTCTCACAGGTTGTCCTCTGACCTCCACACCCACTCCATGGCATGTGCATACCTACACAAATACAAAATAAATGTATTGAAAAACAAAAGGCCAACAAATTCCCAATCAACAAAACCCAGCGTTGGCAAATAAATGCAACCAAACCTCCATAGTATAGCCATTTTGATTTTAACTTTGCCAATCATTTTTTATTTTGTTTTTGAGATGGGTCCCTTAAGCAACCCAGGTGGTTTCCACCTTGCTGTGTAGCCAGGGATGACCTTGTGCCCCTTAACCTTTGCCCTCACCTTCCAAGTGTTGGGGTTACAGGCATGAGCCGCCACTCCCCAGTACATTATCTTTAAAGACAGTGTCTCACTATGTAGCCCTAGCTGGTTATCATGTCCATCACATTATCAGTTTTTAAAAACACACAGAGAGACTCTCGGCCCGGCGGTGGTGGTGCACGCCTTTAATCCCAGCACTTGGGGAGGCAGAGGCAGATGGATCTCTGTGAGTTCGAGGTCAGCCTGGGCTACAGAGCAAGTTCCAGGAAAGGCGCAAAGCTACACAGAGAAACCCTGTCTCAGAAAACTCCCCCCCCCCAAAAAAAAGACTCTTGGAACTGACTATCTTGACTTTTACCCCAGCACCATGCTCCAAGAAAACTACAATGGTTAAGAATTTCTCCCACCATTCTGAGTTCTGGAAATGGTTTTCCATAAAGAAACACCTCTTCCCATAGAATGAGCTAAAATTCATGAGTGCAGCAGTTTTTCCATGTCTAGACACTGGTTTTGCTCTATCTAGTCCTCGTCAACCAGAGGACATTAAGTCAACTGGACGCAAGGAAAAAAGAAAACGTGGGGGCAGACTGGGCTACATGAGACCCTGTCTCAAAAAAATCAAATCAAATAAATATTGAAATTAAAAAATGAATTCAAAAATCAGTGCAGAAGAAGCAAATCTGATTTTTCGAGTTTCTCATAATACTGCATATTATTATTATTATTATTATTTTATTTTTTATTTGGGGGAACCAAGCCAGGGCTTCTCTGTGTGGACCTGGCAGTCCTGGAACTCACTTTGTAGACCAGGCTGGCCTGGAACTCACAGAGATCCTCCTGCCTCTGCCTCCTGAGTGCTGGGATTAAAGGCGTGTACCACCACGCCCTGCGTACACTGTTAATATTTCACCGGATTCTCCGAACCATGAGGCGGGAGGGGCTGCAGTCCTGACTAGGCAGATGTGGGTGTGCTACCTCTGTCATGAGCTCTTTGAAGGTTGAATTTCACTGGGCATCAGCTCAGAAACCGGCCGCCTTCCCGGGCGTCAGGGACAGAAGAGCGCATGTGTCATTCGGCCCCTTACTAACCTAACACCGCCCTCTCCCCGCACAAGCCACGCCCCCGCCGGTAGCCCCTCCCTTCCTGGTCTGACACACCTACTCGAGGCAGACCAATCAGAAGAGGCCTTAGGCGGGCGTACGACCCAGCGAACCAATAGACGGGCAGCCGAAGCCGGGCTTGTCCGGGCAAGTAGCGGCGGCGGCCGGCAAGGGCTCCACGTGTAGGCCGGGAAAGCGCGGCAGGGTCTTCAGGTGAGCTGGGGTTCGGCCGTGGGGAGTCCCGGGCCGCCGGTTCCTGCCGCCAGCCGCTCGCCTCTCTTGGGGCGGGCCGGTGTGCACCCAGGCCCGGGGTGCGGCCTCACGCAGTCCCGGCCCGGCTTGGGGGCTGTGGGCCTGAGGGGGCGGTTCCGGCGAGAAGCCGGACGCCGCAACCGGTGGGGAGCGCGGGGCTCTCCTAGTACTTTTCTTTCTTTCTTTTTTTTTTTCTTGGTCTGGAAAGCTTTTGGGTAACATCGGGAACCTTATTGCACCAGGCTTTCCCAAACTTGAGGGTGGGGTCTCGGGTCCTGTCCCCAGACTTTGCCTTCTGCCTAGAACTACCTATTGAAAGCTCGCGGTTAAGGGACAGTGACTTTTCCGGGGTCATCTGGTTATTTCGTGCTAGAACTGGTCTAGACCGGCCCTCTGGTAGAGACCTGGTCTGCCAGCAGGCAGATGGCCCTTGGGCCACTGATGATCCTGGCTTTGCAGTTTCTTGGGAGCCTTCTCATCTGGAATCCTCTTGGGCCAGGGACCCTCACCTGAAAGCCGAGTGCCTACCATACTGACCAGAGTTAAGATGAGAAAATTGTGTACGTGCCGTTGCTGAAAGGGCTGTGTCCTCCGAATACTTCTCTTCAGCTAAATTGAGCTCCATTCAGGGCTGCAAACTGTAGAAGTGGGTCCCCTTGGTAATTGGTGGTCCTGACATGTCCATAAGGCCAGGGACTATAGGAAATGACCACTTTTATCTCTTCAAATACAAGGCCACAGAGACTTTTTCTCAAGGGAACCTAATTTTAGCTTCTTTCAAACCTTGCCAGCAGGGAACGTCTGCCCTCCCCACCCCCACCCTCAAAGTCCACGATCAGCAGGGCCAGCACGGGTCCTCTAGGCCACTTTCTTTCCTATTGCTGGGCGAAGGCAAATTGAGATTCTGAATTTGTCAGTTCTGAGGCGGGTATGAGGAAGTTGCTGACAAGCTCTTTTTAGAGGGTACTATTTGGAGACCGGATAAGCAAGCTGAGAGCAGGTGAGTCAGCAAGGGTCACTGAGTCTCCCCCCTGGCTAAGTGGCTCAGTACTCCTCATGCAGATGCTGGCATCAGCAAACACAGGGCTTTTCCTCTTTCCTCCCTTCTACTTTTGCTACCTATTCCTGTGCTACTACTGCCCAGGCTCCTGGTCTAACCTCATCCTCCAGTGAGGTAGCTGTGATGTCCCCAGAAGCCCTCCGTTCTGTCCCTCTCCTTGCCGTATTGAGCTCAACCTTGGGTCCCTTCCAGTGGCTCACCATTCCCACTCTACCTGTTTCCACGCCCCCTGCTGCCTAGCTGTTTACAGGCTGCACCACACTCTTGCCTCTCTCCCCCTGGCTCTTGGCTTTGTGTTTTCTGAGTGCCCTTCCCTCCCTGGGCTGCCTGGGAAATCCATCTGCAGCATCCTCTCTATGGCCAGGCCCTCCTGAACTCAGCGTTTCTTCTGTTTTGGTGTCTGCCCCGGTTCTCAGGTTCCCTTCCTGTTAGTCCCATTGCTCTGTGGTTCCAAGGACATTGAGCTCTGTATACCCCCAGGCCCAATAAATACTGGGCGGCCCAGCTTGGGCTTCAGAAGAGAGTCTGCCATGAGAGGGATAGCAGACCCAGTAGGGCGCTGCAGCTTGCTGACTTGAGGGAGCCCTGCAGAAGACTACCTGTTGACTGAGGAGTGTACAATCCAGTGTCTTGCAGTGCAGAGGGTAAATTTCTCTGCTCTTCTGATAGACAGTTTGTGCCCACTGGTCCACATTTTACTGGCCCACCTGGGTGTCTCCGGCCTCCCTCACTTGACCAATAGACTGAGGACCCTGGAGTAAGAGTGGCTTGTGGAAGGACCACCAAAGTCAGTGGCAGAAGATGGAGTGGTATAAAGGAAGAAGCAGTCTTCCTGGCTGTAATCCATCTTATATTTTATAGTGTAATCTGGTGACCGACCGCAGGTGGCCCCTCTGCCTCAGCCCCAGGTTATTTCTTTGTCAGGCCTTTGTCCTGAGTGTCTCTGCTCCCGCTCCCTCTTCCCTGCAGGGTTACTGTTCCCTGTTTCCACAGAAGTGACTTCTAGGCTCTTGATTTTGTTTTGCCTCCTCGTACCTCTAACCAGCTCTCAGCTCACCAGCTGCTGCGTTTCCATGTCTCTGGTTAAACCAAGCTCCTCGGCCCAGCATCTGGCACAGCTGGGACCCCAGAGAACTCCTTGCAACATTGGGGAGATGCAGGGGTTCCTGATCAGCATTTGGTGATACAGAGCTGCAGCTGGGTCTGCAGGCCTTGGGTGTATTTTGGGAAGAGCAGTGAGTCCAGCTGGAGGCATCTCTGGCCTAAGGATAGCTGACTACCCAATGTAGGAAAGAGAATCAGCCTCGCTGGAGGAGAGGACAGAGACCTGGCTATTGAGCCTTACTGTGTGTGAGGTATAGGTCAGCCACGGGGGCACAGCCGTTTATAAAGACCTAGGTTAAACCTCACTCTGCAGAGTTCAGATTTGGGGATCTTAGATGGGTGATGTTCAGCTGCAATCTGTTTCTGTGACCTTGGCTTCCCTGTATCCGTACTCCTAACAGTCTGGTAAACTACCGCTTTTAGAGGTGAGCTTGACTCCAGAGCACGGACTCTGGATTCCTATCAGCTTTTAACCAAGTTACTCAGCCTCTGGGCCTCACTTCTTTCTGTAAGACAAGGGTGATGATACTCTGGTGTCAGTAGGGAGGTAGAAGATTCCATGTAACACTTGTAGAGGGAGTTTGCGGGAGGCACGTGTGGCATGTGTGGTGTTCGAGTGCAGTTCTTCGTAAAGGTGTCTGAGGTTCAGTCAGGTACTTGAGCTGCAAATCCCACGGGATAAGAGGCAGCGTGGCCCGGCATCCTCCTCCCATCCCCTCCCCCTGTGTGATCTCTCTCCAGCACACTGCCCCATTGGAAGACAGCCTCCAGGGCTCCTCTCACCCCCAGCTGCTAGCTGCCTGGCATGGTGCTGGGAGAAGCCCCTGAGTCTACTCAGTGTCCACCCTTCTCCGGCCTGAATTCCAAGGATGTGGTTCGGAAGAGACACAAGAGGAGAAGCCGGCAGCACCAGCGGTTCATGGCCCGCAAAGCCTTGCTACGGGAGCAGGAGCTGTTGAGCATGGCTCCAGGGCCAGGCTCCTGCCCTCTGGCCTCCCCGTCACAGACACCAGCAGACACAGAGGCTTCAGGCAGCAGAAGGCAGCGTCCCAAGGCCAGGTCCGGCCGTGGTGGCCCATGCAGCAAAAGGCCTGTCCCCAGAGAAGCCCCAAGGCCTGGGCCCAGCAAGTGTGTCGCCATTGACTGTGAGATGGTGGGTACAGGCCCCTGTGGGCGGGTGAGTGAGCTGGCCCGCTGCTCTGTGGTGAGTTACAACGGAGATGTTCTCTACGACAAGTACGTCCGGCCTGAGATGCCCATTGTGGACTATCGCACCCGCTGGAGCGGCATTACCCGCCAGCACATGCGCAAGGCCATCCCCTTCCAGGTGGCTCAGAAAGAGGTGAGGACTCCGAGGTCTTGTTTTGACCTGAATGACAGGTTGGGGAGGGAAACCCTGGTTTAAGTCACTGGGGGGTGTGGGTCCTTGAGAAGTCACTTCACTTCACCCCACATGCAGTTCCTTTTCCAGAGAATGGGATCATATAAATCCAGGTGCTGCTCTTCTGCAGGGCTGCCAGGCTGCTAGGCAGGGGCTGCTGCTAGAAGGGCTATGTGAGAGGTAAAGGCACAACTTACAAAAGGTTTGAAGTCTATACAGTTCGCCTGCGGTCCTGTCACAGTCAAGGGCCGCTGTTCTAGCCCATCTCCTTATGGTTTCTCAGTGCTTGGAAAAATGATTAGTAGTTGAGATCCGCTAATATACTAGGAGTCTGCAAAAGCATTTGACCATCGGAAACAGTGAAAGCCTTGTAAGTAGACTAGGATCCTTGCACTGGGGTCTTCTGTGAAGATTCCATCCCACAGCCCAGCTCTAGGGCTCTGACATGGTTGTCTGAAAATCGTGGCTAAGATGGGCATGGTGGCACATGCTTTTAGTCCCAGCACTGGGGAGGCAGAGGCAGGTTGATCTCTGTGAGTTCAAGGCCAGCCTGGTCTACAAAGTGACTTTTAGGACAGCTAGGGCTACACAGAGAAACCCTGTCTTGAAACCCCCCCCCAAAAAAAAATGCTAAGCAAGCTTGCCCCCACAAATTAACCACAGAGTTAATTAATCAATAGAACCATGCCTAGCCCTGTACTGGTAAGGGAAAGCTCTTATTAGTATCAAAGGCTGCAGTCCCTATCTTCAGGACTCTGCCCCCCAGCTTATCTGCATGCTGACTCCAGGCCCTCCACACCTGCCCTATGCCATGGAAATAAGGCACAACACTGAATTTGTTGGTATGTATATATATATATGTGTGTGTGTGTTTATAAGGATTATATTAAAAGAATATATCTTAATATAATAAAGATATATTTATAAGGAAATGGTGTTCGGGCACAATGCTCAAAAGACTTGGTGCTACCACAGAAACAGGGAGACCTAATTAAAATGGCACTGCAGTTTTGCCTAGGGTTCGGAAATGCAAGAGACACCAGTAATCGTTTGTGGAAGCAGGGGCAGGAGGAGGATGCTGGGCTGTGTGAAGAGGGGCGGAGTGTCTGAGTCTGACACTGTGTTAGGCGGCTGTGGCTCAGCACCCAGGCAAACACAGTTGCTGGCAGATGTTCGAGACGTGTGGTGTTGCGTGCTTTGGGTTCTGCTCAGCGGGCAGCAGTTTCTGCATTCGTGTAGTGTTTCTTCGGGAGTAAAATTATGCAGAGACGACGGTGAAATTCACATCCTAAGTTGTACCGTGTCACAGTTGTATTAGAACAAATACACGTTTTCAAAACGAGCACTAGAACAGAACTGCCTTTTTTTTGCGGGGGGGGTTGGTTTTTTCAAGACAGGGTTTCTCTGTGTAGCTTTGCGCCTTTCCTGGAACTCGCTTTGGAGACCAGGCTGGCCTCGAACTCACAGAGATCCGCCTGGCTCTGCCTCCCGAGTGCTGGGATTAAAGGCGTGCGCCACCACTGCCCGGCGCAGAACTGCTTTTTAACGTCTCTGGGTTATTGGGATTAGGAAGGTTTTGGAAATACTGATAAACCACATCTTGTGACCTTTGTCACAGTGGGCAGGTTAGTTTTGTCAGAAGCCAAAGTCATTTGGGAAGCAGGAACTGAAAGTGAGAAAATGCCCCCACTGGATTGACCTGTGTGCAAGCCTGTGATGCATTTTCTTAATTGATGATTGATGTGGGAGGGCCCAGCCCACTGTGGGCAGAACTACACCTAGGCTTATGGTCCTGGGTGTATAAAAAAGCAGGCTAAGCAAGCCAATAAGCAGCACTCCTCCATGGCCTCTGCATCATCTCCTGCTTCCAGCTTCCCGAGTTCCTTTCCTGACATTCCTCAGTGATGGACTATGGTGTGGAGCTGAAAGAGGAAACAAACCCTTTCCTCCTCAAGTTGTTTATGGTCGTGGTGTTTTATCACAGCAATAGAAATCCTAAGTAAGACACATTCCATGATGCCCTAAGCATTGCTTTGGAAAGACTTGATCATGAGTAGAAGCAGTAGGAAGGTGAGTCTGTGTGAGCCCTCCAACTCTGATCCCTCCCATCCATGTTTGTGGTTGGTGGTGATCACCCTGGAGCAGGCTCACTTGGGCTAGTGGGGGGGTAGGTTTGATCTCTCTCCTACTTGATGGCAGGTGGGGTAGGAGACTAGGGGTGATCCCAATATAAAGCTTAAATGTGTCTTACCATCTGCCACAAAAACTGGGTCCCATACTACTAATAGGGAAGGCTGTGGAAGGCCAACAGCTGATGATCAGGAGTTAGCAGGCCTTTAGCCCTGTTTCCCTGAGCATGAGGAAGGGAAGGAACAGGTTGTGCCTCTAAGGCTGCAGAACAGGTTTAGAAGATAAGTAGGAGGAGTCAGTACACACAGGAGCAAGGAACTGTGTCCTTGAATACCAAGAAGGGCTTCCACTTAATTGTGTATCTACCAGCACCAGGCATGGTTCTCTTGGTTTCATTCAACAGGTCTTTATTGATCAGAAAATGGGAGACTGAGGCAGGAGGATTGATGTTAGTTCTAGCCTGGACTGCAGAGTGAGCCTTGTCCCAAAAGGACCAGCCCAACAAACAAAAGCAAGTCAGTATATGCTGTGCTCTGGGTGAGCGTCACTGGTCAAGTCAATGGAACTTACTGTGCAGGAGAGGAGACTAGGTCATCCCAAGAGCTAAGTGTGTAAAATGTGTAAAATCCGTACTTAGAAAGTGTGGACAGCTTGAAGGACCAGGGTCCCTAGGTAGATGAGGATATGGGAGGTCCTCCAAGGAAGGCTGATGAGCTGAGCCCTGAGTGGGTGAGAAGGTCTTGTAGCTAAGAAGTGCCTGTGCCAGCGCAAACTGCTTGGCTCTCTCAACTTGAATGCATGGCTTCCATCCATGGATTCCTTTGACCTTCACAGCTGTTCCCTGGAATGCTGAGATGGTATCCCTTTTGCAGGTGCTGAGATGGGTTTGTATTCAAACTTGGGGCATCATGGTTGACCGGAGCTCATAGACTCTCCCTTCCCCACTGCTGTCTCCCTCTGGAGTGGTTCATGCACCCATGCTAAGGGAGCTCAGGTCGTCTCCTTCCTGACATGGGCCTTCCTGCCTCCTCTCCCCTCACAGATCCTGAAGCTCCTGAAGGGCAAGGTGGTGGTGGGGCATGCACTCCACAATGACTTCCAGGCCCTCAAGTATGTTCATCCTCGGAGCCAGACTCGGGATACCACTTACGTCCCAAACCTGCTCAGCCAGCCCAGCTTCCACACCCGAACTCGGGTCTCTCTTAAGGACTTGGCCCTGCACCTGCTGCACAAGAAGATCCAGGTATGTGGTGCAGAATCTCTTGGTGGAGGGGTTGCAGGGAAGGCTCTTCTGACTTTCATAGCTGCTGAACTGCTGAACTGTGGATAGGACTGTGGACTGTTGTAGCCCCTCCTTCCCTGTGTGAATTCCCCAGTAATAGTCAAATTCCACCAGGTTCATCTCTTTCAGTCTTTGCCCACCTAACTCCTGGCTCTATCCTGTATCCCCATAGGATGTGTTCTGACTCTTGCTCTGTTGTGTTTTGATATCCATCTTCCAACTTTTGGAGCAGGAATTTTTTTTTTGCATGTGTGTCTGTGCACTGCATGCATGATGTGCTCTTGGGGGCCAGAAGAGGGCATCAGATCCTCTGGACCTGGAGTTATGGACAGTTGGGAGCCGACATGTAGGTCCTAGTAATTGAGCCTAGGTCCTGGGGGAGAGCAGCCAGTGCTCTTAACCACTGTGCATTCTCTCCAGCACCAACATAAAGGGAGGATTATATTGGCTCATGGTTTAATAGGGTCCATGTGCTAAGGCAGAATATCGTGGTGGGAGCATGTGGAGCTCTGTACCCCACAGTGAATAGGAAGCAGAGAAAGGACAGACAGAAGACTCCCAAGGTCTTTTCTGGTACTCTGTTTCCTTAAGCCCCCTCAGTTTCTAGTAGCTTGCAAAGTAGCACTGTCCGCCAGGGAAGAAGCCCACAACACAGCAGCCCTTGGATATATTTCGTTTCTAAATCATAGCAGCCTGTATTCTGGGGTGTGTGCTCTCGCCCCCTGGAGGCCAGCTTGGCCTCTGGGTTGATGGTCAGGCCCATTTCACCACACAGTGATGGGTTTGCTCTTGTCTGCAGGTAGGTCATCAGGGACACTCGTCTGTGGAAGATGCCATGACAGCCATGGAGCTCTACCAGCTGGTGGAGGTGCAGTGGGAACAAGAAGAGGCCAATAACGCCAAGGCCCCTCCTGAGGACAGGGGACCCGACAGCAGCACTGACGTGGAGCAGTACATGGAGGACCAGTACTGGCCTGATGAGCTGACCCAGAGCACCAGTGGAGAAACACAGGAGTGAGAGGAAGGAGCAGGCCATGGCAGATGGGGCAGGGAGCCGGGAGGGGTCCTCCCTAGGCAGACAGGGCAGGCAGCAGCCTGGTAGACAGGGTCAGAGCACTCACCTGTCCACATGCTGGTTCACAGCCCCGCCTCCTGCATCTAAGGGATGCTTCTCCCCAGTTTCTGTGGTTTTGCTAATGACACTAGGCAGACCTTGTCCTAGTGCCCAGCGGGTACAGGGAAAGTATTTAAGGACCTTCCAAGGCTATCACTGGCTCCCTGAGCCACGACTTCCGGGGTCAGTGCTGTGCTGCTCTGGGGTAAAGTGTCTCCCCCAGGAGTGGTGGGTGCAGTCTGTCCTGGAGCTCCGTCTCCCCCTCTGGCAGGGTGAAGTTCAGTTGTTCTTGCCACCTCTGTTCTTCCACAGATGTGTTCAGGATCACAGTAACCTGGAGTTAGGTCCTATAAAGAAGACGTGTTCCCTGTCTGCAATAGAATATTATTTTAAGGCGTGTTACTGTTGTTTATGTTGCATTTGTTTAACTCTGTGAGGCTGTGTTACTGAGCCTGTCTAAAACACCTGATGGTCTAATAAAGAACTGAACGGCCACTAGCAAGGCAGGAGAAAGGACAGGTGGGGCTGGCACAGAGAATATATAATAGGAGGAAAAAATAGATGGAGGAATAAAGAGAAGAGGTAGCCCGAGAAGGAGGAAGACTCCAGGGGCCAGCCATAAGCTACACAGCAAGCCACGGAATGAGAGTAAGATTGACAGAAGTAAGAGAAAGGAAAAGCCCAGAGGCGAAAGGTAGTCGGGATGATTTAAAGATAAGAATAGCTGGATACGACTTTTAAGAAAAGGAGGTCTGACTAAACCTCCATGTGTGATTTATTTGGGAGCTGGTGGTGGGCCCCCCACAAAAGAGCAGAAACAACCAACACCACCTGTTAACTTAGCTGTCCTATGTCCCAAGGGTAACTTTAGGGGACTAAGTCACTAAGCAAGGGCTCAGATCACACCATCCTCTCATAAAGCCTCATCCTTACTGCTCCGTAACATTGAGACATTAGGCAAGCCTGTGGCTTCCCCGTGGAGCCTGTTTCCCTCTCTGTAAAGTGAGGAGAGTGATAGACCTACCTCAAGGAACGCTTAGGTGCTTTGCATGCGTCCTAGTGATGAAAGAGAATGGGTTCTATTCAGGCCAGTGCCTGACTTCTGAGCTGTTATGGCCCGGGAAGTCCTCTGGTTTGGGCCAGGGCATTGCAGGGGAATTCAGAGTTCTCTGCAGGTCTTGTTACCAGCTTTTGGCTTCACATCAGCTTCCAGCCACTGTATTTGGAAAAGTGACAGCAGTAACCCAGATAGGGTCAGAAAGGAAGGGACACTCCTGAGTCCATACTTTCCACTGTCAGCCGAGGTCCTGATGCACAAAACCTTAGTCACCGATTGCTTGCTTGCTGGCTCCTCCCTGCCAGGGGAAGAGAGCTGGCCAAATCATCACCACTTCTGGCCTGGCGCCAGGGGTAAGCTCTTGTTTCCTTAAAAAGCAACAGCTTGTGCCAACCTCGCTGCTGGGTAGTAGCTTGAAGGCTTCATTTGTGGCTTGAAGGGTGGTGGAACTGATAGCCTGTGGAAGTGTACTGTGGGAAATCAGCTTGCTCGTGGTACTGGGCCATTAATGCAGAAATAAAGCTCAATTGGAAAAGTAGGTGGAGTGATCCTTTCTGAATAGTCAAGCTGGGCTGAAGGGTGGTTGGTTGAGGGTTGGGGAGGGCTAGAGCACCGAGCTTTGCTGGGTGCTGGTCTAGAGGTGGCATCTTTAAGATGGTACACGTTAGGTCTGGGTCAAGTTCTGACTTCCTTTGGGAGTTGCCCTATTACACAGCACACAATTTAATTTGGTCTCCCTGGTGCTATGTTCTCATATTAAAAATGGTTTGAGGGATTTTTGTTTGCTGTTGAAAAGGGATCTCATGATAGAGCCTGAGCTGTCTATAACTCCTCATGGAGTTCAGGCAGTCCTGCCACAGCCCACTCAGTGCTGGCGTTGTAAGCGTGTGCTGCCATTCCTGTTAGATTTTGTCCTTTAGGAATAAGATTCCTTGGTGTGTGTATAATGTTAGTCACCTGTCCTTGCACAACATCTGCTCAATCGCTTCCCCTCTTGGCTATTGTGAACAAAGTATTCATAAGCATGGCATGCAGAGATCACTGATATCCTGCTTTCAAATAATTGGATAGATTCCCAGTAGGGGAATTGCTGTGTCATGTGATAATACTGTGTTTAAGAGTTTGGGCAACTCACCTTTCCACAGCAGCTGCATCATTTTACATTCCCATCAACACTTCACAAGCATTTCAGTTGCTTTGCTTTGAGGAATGGTCTCACTGTGTGACCTAGGTTGACTTGGAACCTGTAGAGATCCTCTTGCCTCAGCCCTGATTCAAGGTAGCTGAACTTATAGGGCAGGGTTCTGCTAGGGAGAGCCGCCTCTGATGCCCTTAGTTGTCTTAGTCAGTTTCATATACAACGAAACACCTGGGGCTGGTACTTGAGGAAGACAGAAAGGCTTGGTCTGCAGGGCTCTGTGAAGGCCCTGTGCTGGCTGATGACAGTGGAAACACTTGGGGAAAGGACCACACGGCAAGACAGGAAGTGGGAGAGGCCGTACACGGTGAAACCATTGTAAGCTCTCTTTCACAATACCAAATACAATTCACAAAGGCCTAGAACTTCCAAGAGACCCAGTTAATCTACTCATGAAAGTGGTATGTGTATCATTCACCCTCACATTCATGATTCATCCACACTGGGAACTAAGCCCCTAGACCAGGGATCTCTGGGAAATACTAAGTCATACCAGAGCCATATCATGAGTGTCCATTCAGTGCATGTCTGGGGATTAGGAAGAGCTGTCCAGTAGCTGCTACATGTCATGACAGGTGAGCAACTGATGGGATGTGTCCTTGGAAGGCTGACAGGTTTGCCAGGAGTGACTCCTGTCACATGATCAACAAGGCTTGTGGGCTTGGCTTGCTGTTTGATGCCGTCAGGTGAAACTGGAAGATCAGGAAACTCCCTAGCTGAGGTCAGGGCTTCCTTCTACAGTACCTGGGTCCAACAGAACACACTGTACACTTGGATAAAAGTTAAGCATAATCCAGGCAGGTTCTGGGAAGTGGTTCCAGCTCTGCGGGAGAGCCACAAGAGAGCAAATAGAAAGCACAGCATTTATGACTGCTCCTTCTATAGAAAAGGGTAAGGCTGGGGACGGCCTCATCAATGAATGAGTGAATGAATGAATGAATGAATGAATGAATGTAGAAGAGGACAAGAGGTGCACTTACATAGAGAGGCCCGAAGAGGGAGCTGTTAGGCAGATTATGATGTGGGAAAGGAGCTTTCCAGAATGTTGAGCAGGTGTAGTAGAACCCTGTCCTTTAAGCAAAATAGATCAGCTGCACCTGCTCACAATGATGCTCGCTGACTATTGATAGTCCCTCATAGCGAGGGGCTGGAGAGGGTCTGAGATTTCAGGTCATCTGAGATTTCAGCTGCTCCCCCAAACCGTCAGGATGCACTTTGGTTCTAATTGCGTGGGGCCTGGGGTCTCAGGCAGTGGTAAAGTCTATGAGCTGGGGAAGATTGGAGCTCCAGCAACGCCTCTACGGGGAAGCCATTGTCCACACGGTGAAGACTTAGCAGTGTGTTTGTTTTGACGTCCTCCCAGGCTCCTGTGAGTCGCTCTTACCCATGCTCCATAAGGAAGCCCAATAAATGCATTGGTTCCCCAAGTTGTCCTTTGGTGGAATTGTTCTTTGGCTTGTTGGGAGCTATTGAAGAAATGGTAGTGTATTGTTTTATTTCTCCCAGAAAAGCAAGTGCCAAACCCTGAGACGTGCATGTAGGAAGGAAGGTACCTTCATAGTTTTGCCACAGGACTCCCATCTAGAGTGGGGCCTCTAGCCCAGAGTTTCTCAACACGTGGGTCGTGACCCTCTTGGGGGTCAAATGACCCTTTCACAGGAGTCACAGACATCTGGCATATCAGATATTTACATTATGATTCATAATAGTAGCAAAATTACAGTTACAAAGTAGCGACAAAAGTAAGTTTATGGTTGGGGGTCACCACACCATGAGGAACTACATTAAAGGGTGGCAGCATTAGGAAGGTTACTGGAGTTTAGTCACTGGTCCCGGCACTGGGGAGATGATTGACATCGTCTGAAGGAGGCATGGGAGACCTGTGGGCCCTGGAAGATTCACTGCACAAAGCCCTGGAGCTCAGGTTTGAACTGAGACGGGAAGGGCAGTGGGGCAGATGAAGGAACATCACATGGGGGATTTGTTTTATTAAGACAAGGTCTCAAAGCAGTCCAGATTGGGCTTGAACTTGAACATCACATGGGGGATTTGTTTTATTAAGACGAAGTCTCAAAGCAGTCCAGATCAGTCTTGAACTTGGTCTGTAACTGATGATGACTTTGAATTCTTGATCTTCCCACCCCAATCTGCCAAGTGTTGGGATTACGTGCTATACCGCTACACTTGGCTAATGCTGAACATCGAACCCCGGGCTTCTTGCATGCTAAGCAAACACTCTACCAAGCTGAACATTTGATTTGTGAAGTCTGGTTTGGCAAAGAAACCACAGATCTGGGCAACTTCCCTTTCCAAAACCACAAATGGTTGTGATATCACATCAGGCTGAAGACTGTTATTCTGTACAGACCTGGGCAGGGAGGAAAGGCCTGGCTCTCCCCTTGCTGGACTCTCCCCACGGCACACAATGCGAGAGTGCTCCTCTCAGCCCGCCAGGTCTATTTCTGACCCAGGTGTACCTTGTTTGTTTACCAAAAGAATACTGAACATTCCCTCCGTGGAAAATGTAAGCAAAGAGCTCAGTAAAGAAAGCACTGAGGCCAGGACCCCGTGATTAAGGGAGGATTTTTACTGTAACCGTGAGAGAAAAGCCAGAGGCATCCAGAAGCATCCAGAGCAGAGAAGAAAAGCCACAGACAGGCCATGGCCAGGGCCATCTCTTGGGAGCAGAGAAAAAAAGAGGGAGGAAGTGAGGAGAGAATAGCGAGAGAATTGGGACTGAGGCTTATTGCTGCTTTTAAAGAAAGCAGGGAGGAGGGGTGAGAGCTGGGACCGTCTGGGAGGAGTCCGGGAGGTGAGAAGGGCCAGAAGGCTAGCATGGACTTTAAAATGCTGAAATGTGTAACAGGTGCACGATCTTGTATAGATCCAAGGGTATGATGGTGCGTTCTGTTGGTCCGAAGAAGGAAGCCGACATCAGCTTGAGCTGAGCCTCGGCTGTCACTGTGGACAAAGTCAGTGAACCTGTCCTCTTTGGGGAGTCCTTGAGCTTTCTCCCCTTGGACCTAATAATAGGTACCACTCTAAGAATTCTAAGTTCCAGCCGGGGAGACTATAGTTACTTTGGAAGAACAGCCTGGCTTGAGGTCGTCTCGGGGTCTGCTGCTGCTGGTCCAACTATCCCAGGTAGAGACTCAGCCCCCCCTGCCCCCGCAAGGCACTGCTGAACTGGTAGAAACCACCAACGGTCCCCCATAACCTCCTTTGCCTTCACTGGGGCAGAGGCCAGGGGCCTGCCCCCCTCCTCTCCAACCCTCCTCCTGCCCGTCCCCGTTAATAGCCTCAGTGTCTCACTTGAAGGCTTGCTCTGCCCTCAGAAGACCTCACAGCACTGACAGCAGATCCCAGAAGTTGTGGGACATTCCCCAGGCTCCAATCCCGGAGATGTTTATTCTCTGGGTGGAGGGTGAAAAAGCAAAGAGAGATGTTGCAATTCACTCCATCCACCACGTCAGAAGGGAGGAGGGCAGGGCCAGAGGAGGGACACCCTGCCGGCAGCCAGCCCTGACCCAGCCTGCCAGGCCCCCCACCGGCTAGCCTTGAGGTGATGGAGTAGCCCAGCCTCCACGGCCGGTCCCCACTCCCCACCTTTCCGTGATGACAAACCAGAAACTGAAACTGAAACAGGCTCTCGTTAGAGATGAGTCACCCTGGCACAGCCGGCCCTGACTCAGTCCGGTCCCCCACCTGCTGGCCTTGAGATGGAGTAGCCCAGCCTCCACGGCCTGCCCCTCTCCCCAACTTCCCCTGATAACAAACCAGAAACTGAAACTAAAACAAGCTCAAGTTAGAGATGAGTCACTTCCCAAAGTGACGGCAGTCAGTCGCTGAGAAGTGACACCAGACAGACAGACAAGAACCCGGGGCACTGAAGCAGACAGGTAAGAGCAGGATCCGCACAGCAGCCCAGCCTGGGAGGCGGAGGGAGGGGGCTCCTTGTTGGTGGGACAGACGGGACCAGCAGGCTCTGGGACCTAAGCCTAGAGAAGCTGCAAGCTGGCAAGAGGCCAGCTTCCCCTGTGGCCAGGTGGCATCGAGGACCAAGGTTAGGGCTGAGGGTGTAGTCTGGCGGGGGTGGTGGCCCAGGATGCCTGGAGGCTTGTTGGTGCTTGAATGACACCCTGATTCCCCCTGGTCCTCCAGGACGTTGAGGGTCGCCAAGGAGCATGGCAGGCAGTCCCGAGGTGGTGGCCATGGACTGCGAGATGGTGGGTATAGGACCTCTAAGGGTGAGCGGCCTTGCCCGCTGCAGCATCGTGAACCTCTATGGCACAGTCCTGTATGACAAGTACATCCGGCCCGAGGGAGAGATCACAGATTATAGAACCCGAGTCAGCGGGATCACACCTCAGCACATGGTGAGGGCGACACCATTTGGCGAAGCCAGGCTAGAGGTAAGTGAAGGACCAGGAGTTAAGCCAACAGGTGTTGTGGGGATCCTGTCTTTCCTCCTCAGCTCCTTCCCTTGGGTCTGTGGTCTGTGAATCTACCCGGGAGAAATTCCTCACATTGCTGAGAGAGGAACTCTGGGCCTTGCTATCACAGCCCCCAATGAGATATCTTCCCGCCAACAGAGAACCTTAGGCTCCCACCTGGAGCTGCTTCCGGAGCATCTATCTGGTCCAATTTGCAGGTCTTGGGATAGGGAAATTGAATTCTGCCCAATGGCCCCTCTCTTTTATACCACACTGCTCTGGTGAGCCTGGGAAATGAGCTGCTTCTGGCTCAGAGACCAGAGACTCCTAGGCTGAAGGAGATCGCGTCACAGCCAAGTGCTCTGGGCCACAGCAGGCTCCCTGCTTGGCTTGAAGCCTAAGGTTTCCATCCTTTAGCTTGTGGCCATGTCTTCGAGATATAAGTTTCTGTTTCTTTGTATGACTGAAGGGAAAGGAAAACTCGAGCAGAAATTTCCCCAGGATTTGTCACCTCTGGGCAGGTTCAACAGGAGCTGGGGGAAGTCCAAGATCACAGGAACTGTGATTGGTCTCCACAGACATGCCCAGTGTGTACCAAGGTACTGGAGGCTGAACACAAAAACCCCAACAGTGCTACTCTTTAATAGGTAGTAGGGTCTCTCTCTCTCTCCCTCCCTCCCTCCTCCCCCCCTTCCTCCCTCCCTTTCTCTCCCTCTTTCCCTCCCCCTCTGGCCCTCTCCTCTCTCCCTCTTTCTGCTCTCCCCCTCCTCCTCTCCCTCTGCCTCTTCCTCCCTCTCTCCTTCCTTACCCCCATGCTCATTCACCCTTCCTGAGCTCATTCCCACCTCAGCCCAGCCTAAGTGGTGCTTAGGAATTATCGGCCTCACTGGGAAGCAGACACTCTTGAGTCCCAGCTCCCTGCTGCTCGTGAAACGGCTCCAACGGGACACTTTGTCCGTATCTACCAAAGACATACTGCTTGGAACCTGGAAGGTGCCCTGGGGATGTCTGTGGGGTAGAAGCAGGGCTGATTTGCAGCAGTGAAGTTGCCTCTGTGTCCCAGCTACCTTTAGCCAACCATCCTTTTGTGAGTTGGAGTGGTACACCGGCAGCCTGGGGAAAGGCTGAGAGCAGGCATGTTGTTCTGGGAACCTTTCCCAGCTCTGTCACCTGCCTGCTCTGTATCCTCAGGCTTGATGCTCGCCCTCTCTGAGCTCCCTCACCAAGGCTCTGTGATTTAAGGTTGATACACCAATGTAAATGTCTCCAGTGCTATGGTCCAGATACTATTCTAAGCAGTATCCCACTATTCTTCACTCCACGGCAGTGGCGAGTATGAGGTGAGTCAGTCTCCTCACTCCCGCTTTCCAGATGGGAAGACCAAGGCGCAAGGGCTGTGGTACAGGGGGAGGTGGAGCTGAGCTCGTGCTGACTCAGGGCTGGAGCTGTAATGTTCTCTTCCATCACTCGGCATCAGTGCCCAGTGTAAGGGACAGTGGCCGGCGCAGCACACTCCATCCACAGAAGCCCAGGCTACTTGACTTCAGCTCTTGACTGAAGCTAACCCTCACCCCGACCTTGACCTTTCCCAGCCACCTAGAACAGGAGCCGAGTACCCCGTTGCATGTCCCCTCACCCCAATCCACCCCTTTCCAGTGGAGTGACCCTGCCAGAACCTGGCCCCTGCCCCATCCAAGGCCTTTAGGAGGCTGCCTATATACTAGGTGCCCAAGCACCAAGCTGTCTTTGGCTTTCAGGAACATGGGATCAGCCAAGGTCCCTGAAGTGGCTGTGCCATGACCTGGGTGGCTTTGGGATTGACCGGGCTGGAGAAATGAGGAATTACACATAGAGGAGACGTGGGATGGGGTGGACCCTGTACCCTGATGATGGGAGATGCACCGTCAGCTCAGAAATGGAGGAGTCGGGCTAGCTAATCTGGGTAGGGTGTCTGTGTAGGGGCTCTGTCTCAGGCTACAGTTGCCGAGGAGGAGGAAGCTGTGCTTGGTCATTTCTGTGCATCCTGCTTTTTAGCTAAAGGTTAACCATTCGCCAACATCTGTCGGTCCAGGGGAAGCCTTGCCGTTCTTCTGAGCCAGACCTGGGGAAAGAAAGCCTCTCTGTCTCCATGAGTCTGAAGCATTTTGACCCCTGATGTGGCTATGCTCATGTCATGAATGCTATAAGGGAGGGCGCAGCGAAACCACCAAACTGAACTGCTCCGTGGGTGCAAAATAAAAATTTGTTTAAACCACCACAGCTATCTCTGGGGTGCAGGCAGAAAGAAACTTGGCAGGGCGGCTTTGGGATGTACCATAGGTACGTGTTGATAGAGACTGGTGGAGCTTGAGGATTAGCATTGGTTTTGGTGTGTAACTACAGGTCTATGTCAATTCTAATTCTAATTCTCCTTCCCAGAGGCAAGGGGAATAATGGAAGTGGCTCCCTTTGGCAGACAGAAACCCTTTTCCCGGGTTCCTGAAGGATGCTGTGTGGGAGCTCCCATCTAGTCACCTGCAATCCTTTGGTTTATCCTCCGGCTAAAGTCTTCACCATCATCTTGGACCTAGTCCATGGGCCTGCCCTTTGGTGGGGGGAGTTTGGGTGTTCCTTTTGGACCTGACAAGCACTCATTCACACAGAGTGCGCTGGTTCCCCACACAGCCGGGTCTTACTCATTAGCCATGGTGTGTTGTTATTTGTTTTTGTGATGCTGGGGATTGAACCGGGTCCTTGCACGTGCCAGGAAAGCATTGCACCAATTGAGCTACATCCCCAGCTCTCTTCGTACCTTTTGAGATACAGTCTCACTAAGTTTCCCAGGCCGACCTTGAACTCACCCTAACCAGGTGGGCTTTGAATTTTCAGTCCTTCTGCCTCAGTTTCCTGAGTAGCTGGGGGAGGGGTGTACAGACATGTGCTTGCAAACCTAGTCTCCATAATTTTGCGTGTATAGTCTGTGTGTACACATGTGTGTACGGGTGTTCATGTGTGTGGAGGCCAAGATCAATCGATGTAAGGTGTCCGTCTCAATTTCCTCCCACCTTACTTTTGAATCTGAAGCACATGGTTTTGGAAAGGATGGCTGACCAGCCAATGAATTCTAGGGATCCCCTTGTCTCCTCTGGCCCCCAGTACTAGGTTTATATACATGTGCCTACGCACCCAGTTTTTAAGGGGTGCTGGGGATCCGAACTCAGGTCTTTATGATGTGTATCGGGTCCTTTACTAACTGAGCTGTTTCCCCAGCCCTGTCTATAATAATGTTTTAATCCTAAAGACAGATAACTCGTGGGCCTCAAAATGTACTGGAGACCCCCAGAAAAGAGAAACTGCTAGCCTTTTCTCAGACCCACAGGCAGGGACACCTTCCAGGTACATCTAGAGCCTGCTAGAAGTGGGTTCTGGGCAGGTTTTCTGTTCAAAGCTCTTCAGCTCCAGGTTTCTAGCAGGGACAGCAAGTAGGCCCAACTCACAGCAAGCAGTAAGCCAGCCTGTGGTAGCCAGGAGTGCTGTGTGCTATCCTGGGTCCCCTGGCTCTGCCCAGGAACACTATAGGGCACTGAGAGCCGATCCATTCTCTTTTTTTGCAAGACAGGGCCTCAACTCACTATGTAGGCCAGGGTAGCCTTGAACTTCTGCTCCTCCTGGGCTTCCAGATGTGCCCTTGACTGGCTTTTCTCAATTTATTAGTTTGTAACGTGATGTGACTGCTTCTACAGTGTAAAGCCATTGTCCTGTACCTTCCCACATCGCTAGATCTGTCAATCATCCAGAACACTGGTTCTGAAGGAGATGGGATTTCGCGCATACACATCCCTCCCCTGCCAGAGACATTTCTGCTTGTCACTGTGGCTTGAGCAGGGCTGCCGCTAGCAGCATGTAAACAAAGGCTGGACATGCTGTTCAATAGCCTCCTCCCCTATCCTATTATGTAGATGTAATTCTAAACGGTCTTATTAAATAAGAAACACAGAGCCAAATAAAGAGTTAAAAGCCCAGAGATCGAGCAGTAGCCAAGAGCTAAGACCACCTTATCTTACCACTTGCTGCGAGACCTTCTTCCTATGTCCTGTCTTTTTATTGACTTTCTGTTCTGCCTTCTCATTGGTTCTAAACCCAACCACATGACTTCCTCGTCACTGCCTGTCTATACAGACCTCCAGATCTCTGTGGTTGGTACTGGGATTAAAGGCGTGTGTCTCCATGCTGGCTGTGTCCTTGAACACACAGAGACTTTGCCTGCCATGTGATCGGGATTAAGGGCATGTGCTACCACTGCCTGACTTCTGCTAAATGGCTTGCTATTAGCTCTGACCCCCAGGCAACTTTATTTACTAATATACAAATAAAATCACATTTCAGCAGAAATAAAATATCACCATACTATTACACAGCACAGACAGTGGGTGGGTGTGGGCGTTGGCCTCAAATGCCTATAGAGCTCTAGTGGAGAAACCCTGGTCTGTGGAGACTCTGACACATCAGAAACAAGGAACCAAGAAGGGCAGGGACTCGACTAAAGACACGAGCAGGTGGGCTGCACGTCAACCATCGGGTTCGGGGCTCCTTGCTGGCAGCTTCGTGTCGTTCTGCTTCTGGGGAATCGAAGATCGACTCGTGTTGATCGCTGGCTTTCGCCAGTTACCACAGAGGAGGAAGGAGGTAGTCTGTGGTCAGGCAGTGGTGTCAGCTGGAACCTGCCTTCCATTGGCATTGCTGGGGGCCACGGTGTGCTGCTGGGGCTCTGCCGCCTGGCAGGTCCCTAAGGCGCTCAGCCAGGTGGGGGAAGCAACTTCACTCTTCTGTGGATCCAGGATAGCAGGGTGAGCCAGGGCCAGAGTGACCCGTGAGCCTGGGAGGAGGGAAGGGGAGAGTGTGGCCACTTCTGAAGATGGCAGGAAGGTACTTGGTCCTCTGGGCGGACAAGAGTCCTCTCCAGTCCCCCACTTACAGCCACCTCTGCTGGTCACCCGCAGTGAGTGGCTAGATACAGGAAGCAGTGGAGGGTTGAGTGTGTGTAAGAGAGAGAGAAAGCAACAGGCTCCCAGAAGTCTGCCAGGGTTGAGGCAGACTTCCCAAACTGATCAGCGAAGGGGAACCAGGGCCAGGGTTGCCAGGAGCCCACTCCGGGCACTTTGATCCTGTGCCCCTGCCGTAGGTCCCAGTTCTCTGAATCAGACTCATCTGGGGAATGCTAGGACATAAGACCTGTACAGAAAGGAGCACATGGATGGGGGGTTGGGGGTGGGCAGCTGGACTACCCTCAAGATGTGGGTCACCTTCTGCATCCAAGCACCAGGTAGCCAGATAATGGGACAAGCCCTCACCTCATGCTTCTTCTCTGAGTGACAGCACAAGCCCAGAGATGCCCTCTGATGTCCCCAGGAGAAGCAAGTGGAGCAGTGTTAGCCAGGCAGTAGGCTCTGTCCTGTGATGCAGGTCAAGGTGCTGGTTGTCTACAGAGAAAGCCGAAGGCAGGCAGAGCTCTCTTGTAACCCCAGCCAGGGACAGACACTTAATTTTGTTTCCAGATACCTCTTTCCAGTCAAATTAAAGAATGGTGATGTGCTGTGTGCCAGGATGTGGGACACAGGCCAAGCAGGAGGCTTATAAGTCCACGTACGACATGAGGCTGAGTGCTCTAATGGCTGCCCATCCTCCCAGTGGGCTGGCTGCCAGATGTCTGGCTCAAGCTTGCTCATCCAGCTGTGTGACAAGCAGGTGCTCTGAAGCCAGGCTCTGCCACTACCCCCTGTGTGGGGATCCCAGTATTCTGGTGGTGCCGAGCCAACCACCCCCCAAATGGCCTAAACTCTTGTAGCATGGGTCGTACTTGTGCATCGGTGATCTGACGGTTAGGGGCAGTGTGGCAGGGCCAGTGGGAGGAGCTATGTGTAAGTTACTTGTCTGCTGTACTAGATTTTCTCAGCTTATCTCTATGTACGACCCTTCTCCAGAGTTTCCCCAGCCAGGGGGATTCCATTCCTCCTTCTTTGTTTGCTTGGGGTCCCAGGTAGCTCAGGCTAACTTTGATCTTGCTATGAATTGATCCTCTTGCCTCTACCTCTCAAATTCTGGGATTACAGGTGTGGGGTAGAACCTAGGTTCTCCAATGCTAGGCAAACACGCTACCAGTTGACCCACACCCCAGCCCTATTTTTTTTTTAAAGAGGACTATAGGAAAGAACTAGCAAACATTTAAAATGGTCAGAGACACGTTGGGAAAATTATTTCACTCCTCTGTATTTCCTGGGTTTTTTTTTTGTAGAATTCTGGTAAGCCTGGGCCTCTCTCCTAACTGGGCTAGTTTTTGTAGCTGCTGAACAGAGCCAGCAACTTAAAGCTTTAAGACAATATGAGTTTATTATCTTAATGTTCTTCGTTTCAGAAGTCCAACCTAGTGTTGGTCATGCCGATGGAGGAGAGTGCTGGATGTATCGGTGACGGAAGAGTCATGAGCCATGGTTACCTTTCTAGAGCTTTATTGGGAGAGAAAGGGAGAGAGAGAGAGAGAGAGAGAGAGAGAGAGAGAGAGAGAGAGAGAGAGAGAGAGAGAGGAGAGGACACAGAGCACGCCTACTTTTTAGGCTGGGACACCGTCGCAGGCTGGTGATGTAATTAAGGACATAATCCTTACACCTAGGCCTTATGGAACTAAAGTCAAGGAGTCTGAAAGGCAGGCTCCTCAGGTACCTTTGACAGCTTCTGGAGGCAGCTCGAACACCTTGGCCTTGGCCCTTCCTTCCTATTCAAAACTATCAACAGTCCATAAATTCTCATTAAAAAAAAAATCCCTGGCCTTCAAAAATGAGGGTCCTTGGTAATGGGGATCTATTCTGGAACTCTCACTCTCTCTGTCAAGGGTTAGGACTTGGATCTAATAACTTTCCCACGGAGCCACAGTCCCAACCAAAAACTCTCTTTTGAGATCATTATCTGGCTAACAGTTTAAATTCCATAGGCACTTAGGGCCCGCTCTCCAGGTATGTGTGGAGGCCCACAGAGATTCCATAGTGAGGCCTTCTTCTTTCTTGACTCAAGGCCAGAGAGTTCCAGCTTGTTTGTACCCCACAAGGCCACACAACAGGGCAAGGCTGCACAATAGGGTGTTTTGGCCAAAGGCATGGTTACCAGGTGTCTTAAATGCTTCAAGGCCTAATCATAGGATGTTTTGCCTTAAGGCATGGTTACCAGATGTCTTGAATACTAAGGAGGTATTTACACTTATCTGTACTTTGTACATTGAACTGTGATGTCCTTAAAAGGGGGAGGTCTTTCTCCCCCACTTACTTTGGACATATAAAGGCTGTGAGTAATAAACTCAGGCATCTGTGGTATTGACCCAGAGCCTTCCTGAAGCTATCCTGCGTCTCTGTCTTTTTCTTCATTTACATCTATATTTCATATCTATTATTTCTCAATCCTCACTCCTCCATTCGAGGGCCCTTTGACAGGTCGGGCGGGACCCCAACAGGTATGTGTTCCCAGATTCCCCTCAGAGGGGTGCAGACACCTTTGGGAGGTCATTACTTGCCCTGCCACAGCAGAGTTGCTGAGAAGATTAAAGGACATAGTATATGTGCCATGTACCCTTGCAAGCCCTTTCCATGAGCCACGGGGGCAGTCCAGCGTAGGGCTCCTCCCAGACTTAGGCTTCCTTGAGAAGGGCTCTGGACCTCATTTCTCTCCAGTGAGGGAAGGTGATTTGCCCAAGGTCACATAGCAACTCCAGGAGTGGCTACTCCCCAACTAGCTCCATGACTGTGGGGAAGGGGGGTACCCCACCTGGAGCACCCAGGGTGAGCATATGTGAGGCCACCTGTCTTCCTGGACAGATCCTGCAGCTCCTGAAAGGCAAGCTGGTGGTGGGCCACGACCTGAAACATGACTTCGACGCCTTGAAGGAGGACATGAGCAAGTACACCATCTATGACACCTCCACAGACAGGCTGCTCTGGCATGAGGCCAGGCTGGACCATTACGAGCGCGTGTCCCTGCGGGTGCTGACTGAGCGCCTGCTACACAAGACCATCCAGGTGAGGAGCCTCCCCCTCCTCCATTACCCTCCTGTCTCTCTCTTCTTCCTCCTCCCTGTCTGTCTCCCTCCTCCCCGTCAAGTGAAGAGTAACCTGTTCTTCCCCTTCCTCCCCTCCAAGCAAGGAGTCCTCCCTGCCCCACTTTCTCCCTTAGTCTTCTCTCTCCTTTAGTGCTCCTCAAAGTGAGGCTCCTCCTCCTTTTCTTACTCCCCCCTCCTCCCAAGGCAGGCCAGTCCCACCCACCTAAGCTGGCTCCAGGTAAGGAGCCTCTGCAGCTAGCCTGGTCCTCCAGGACTCTCCACCACCACTTCAGGAGCTCTAGTGCAGACACGTGACCCCAAGAGTCTTTCCTCCACTCCTGAGAGGCCGTCTGCTTGTGTGTGTGATGTGTCTTTAGCTTCAGGAGACCAGAGTCGAGGAAGGGAAGGCAGAGAGCCTCTTTGTGAGGTGATCCAGGAGCACCGTTAGGGAAGGAGAGGGGAAGCCCCTAGTACAGGCATCTGGGTGTCAATCCTGTGCATCATGAGGCTTGTGTCACTGCAGTCCCAAATGGTGGAAAGTCTGCACCTCTGATGGGCCCTAGTGGGACCTGAGAGCTGGGGTCCCTACGCACTAGTTCCTGTCACGAATAATCAGTGCTGTGCTCCAAGGTACTGCCTCCTCAGTATGTGGGGGTAGGACTCCCTGATGGTTATGATAAATGGCACTGGTGGCGGCGCTGGTTACCGGTGGAAAAGTCACGGGCCACAGCCACGACTACCAGAGTTACAAAGAGTTTTATTAGAAGGAAGGAGGGGATAGGAGGGAGGAGAGCCAGGCCTGGAGAGAAAGAAAGATGGCGGGGAACAGAGAGTGAGCAGAGAGAGAGGGTGGGGCTTTTTTAAGGCACAGATTGTCACCAGCGGTGCAACCCCCCCCCCCCATGACGCAAGACCCCAGGCTGCGCATGTGCCGGAGTGAGGGCAGCATCCTAACACTCACCCTCATCCAAGTGGGACGAGCTGTAGGTAGGGGGCATACCTTAACAGCCAAACACTACCCAAGGGCCCTCCTGGTCAACAATTTTGTTTTGTTTTTTGAGACAAGGTTTCTCTGTGTAGCCCGGGCTATCCTAGAACTCTCTGTAGACCAGGCTAGCCTCAGACTCAGAGATCTTCCTACCAGAGTGCTGGAATTAAAGGCATGCACCACCACTGCTCAGCTGGGGTTTTTTGTTTTGTTTTGTTTTGTTTTTTTAACTTTTCAGAACTAGGCATCAGACCCAGGGCCTTGAACATAATAATGTCCTGAGCAAGCACTCTACTGTGAGCTACATCTCCAGTCAACCTTTGTTTTCTTAAAGCGGGGTCTGGCTATGTAGCTTATATTCACAATCCTGCCTCGGCCTTCTGAACGCTGGTATTGTAGGTATATGAGCAGCTTCAATAGCTCTTCATGGAGCATCTACTCTGTGTCCCACGCTGGAAGCGGGCATGGCAGGCCCCTGTCTGGGAGGAGCTATGGGTTGAATGGGAGGTAGCCCAGGATAGACCATCAGCATTGTTAGGTAGAAGGGAGGGCAGAGGGGATGTAGTTCAGTTGGTAGAATGCTTCCATAACGTTCGTGAAACCCACGTTGTTTCAATCCCCAGCACCACATATACCAAGCATGGCACACACCTGCAGTTCCAGCACTTGGGAGGTAGAACAGGAAGGGCAGAAGTTTAAGGTCATCCTCAGCTACATAATAAGTTCGAGGCTAACCTAGACTATAGGAGCAGGGGAGGGCAGTGTCCTGGGGTGGGGAGAATGGTGGTTTTGCAGGCTTGGAGGGCAAATCCCAGTACGGTTTGCAGGGCCAGAGTCACAGAGGTCTGGAGGGAGGAGATGGTTGGTTGGAGAGGGTATGTGAGCCAGGGCCAGTAGTGTGTGGATGACTTGGCTGGGTGAGTGCTAATGGTATGGAACCCCCTCCCACACCTCTGGGAATTCTTTTGGAAGCAGGAGTGGGCCTGAATCTGCCTGGCCTCTGTTGGTCTCCTGACCCATGAAAATAGTCCTGAATTTTCTTGTACCCTGGGGGCATGCTGTGATTTGGTGTGCCTGATGAGTCAGGAGTCTGACCAAGATCTCTGCACACCTGCCCTTCGCTGCCCTCTGTGTCTCTCAGCTCAGGCCTCGTCCTGGGGGCCTTGAGCCTGGTCTGCAGGACCCTTAGGCTCTGCTCCTCAGCAGTGGCTGTTCCAGGGACTCTCTTCACCCTCCTCACCAGCTCTCACCTGCACGGATGTCCTCAGAACCTGGCCTCCAGCTCCTGCCTGAGGGCAATGACCTGCTGATCAACTCCACAGAGCTGAGCCAGGGTTGTCACAGTCAGAGTTGCTAATCCCTTCCTTCAAGGGCATGAGCCCCACAGGGAAAGTCCCTGGTGTACTCAAACCTTGGGCATGCTGGGAACTGATAATACAGTAATTCCTTGCAAGGCAGTTGTGCCCAGGTCATTTTACAGAAGAGGAAAGAGGCACAAGAAAAAAAGACTTGCCCAAGGCCACGGGTCCTAAGAGGGAACTAGAGTTGGTACCCAGGGCAGAGCTGTCCACTTCTCCAGGCTGACTGGCAGAGGATGCTTCAGCCACCTGCTGCTTCCATCTCAGATGGCAAAGCAGTAGAGTTCGGAGACCATTCCTCAGTTTCCTCTCCTGACAAGCAAGGGTAGTTATAGGCTGAATCTTTGGAGGCACCTAGGACAGCAGCACTTGGATTGTAGGAGACACCATGGCCACCTGCTTATTAACACAGAGCAGGATGCTGCAGCCTGCCTGCAGGTGTCCCTAACACCCAGTCTAGAGAGCAGAAAAGGAGCCCTTGGAAAGGCAGGCCACCCCTAGCAGAGGGACATAAGGGAAAAGGGGAAAACATATCTGAGACACCCCCCACCCCACCCCTCACATCCATTTGCAGACAAGACCTCAGGCTAGACCTGGAAGGCACAGGAGGTGGAAGATGCTGCGGGAGTTGGCCTGACTCTTGGATATAAGCCCCGACTCCATAACTTTCATTGCGTTTGAGCCTCAGTTTCGCCTCCTGTAAAATTGGGGATGATCAGCTCTAGTTCCTGGAGTTAGGGAGGTTCCATGGACCAAGTGATTAGCACAGAGGGTGGCAGATGACAGTCATTTTTTTTCCCGAATGGAAAGTATAGAACTCAGCTCCCCCCCCCCCCCCCCCCCCGCCCCACCCGCCGCCATGCTCTGGCCCCCTCTTCAAAGAACTCCCGGTTTAGTGGTTCACCCTCCTCATGTTTCCCAAGTACTCAAAGCCTCTCAGGGAAGCGGGGGATGCAGAGTGCCAGGCACTGACACCCTCCTCTCCTACCCTGTGTAGGAAATGATGGAGTTCGCTGGTCTCCACTTGCTGGTGCCCTTTCTCTCTGAGCAGTCTTTCTTTCCCGCCCTTCCCTGGAGTTCCCTGTCTCCTTTCGGGTGCTGCTCTGTCCGGCTCCAGCCACCAGCTGATGCCTGCTCAAACCCGAGTCAGGGACCTCAGGGTGCCTCTCGCCTACGGACCCACTCCAGGCCCGGGGAGGCCAGGGCACCCCCCCCCATGCAGCCCCCCCTAACTCCTTCTCTCCCCATGTCTGCAGAACAACCGTCAGGGCCACAGCTCTGTGGAAGATGCCAGGGCCACAATGGAGCTCTACAGAATCTCTCAGCGACTCAGAGCCAGAGCCCAACAAGGGCTGTCCCGCCTGGGGGCGTCATACTGAAGGTCATCCTTGTCCAGGGACCAGAGGCTTCCACTCCTCAAGGACAGTAGTTTTCCACAGATGAGACCCCGCTTCTAACGACAGCAGCCAACAGCAACAAGAAAAGCAAAACCAGACACAACACTCCCCCCATGCCCCGCATTTTTCTAGCTTTTGGGAAAAAAAAAAAAAAGATCTTTGGTAATGAATGGCTCGTTATTTTGTCTTCTAATTCCACTGGAAATTCTTGTCTTTTGTCTTGCTTGGTGACGGAGAATGAAGATTTATGCCCCCCGAAGTTGGGCACGTGCCTCTCCCGCCTCTCCTTTCTCCATCCTCCCCTCCCTCCCTCTCTCTCTGTCCCTCTCCTCCCTTTCCCTCCTCCCCCCACTTCCCCCAGGTCGATTTAGTACATTTAGAGAACAGTGAGCAGAGCAGTAACAGGAAAACTTGCTTTTTTACTCTCCTTGAGCCCAGGCCCACCTTGCACGCATGACTGCCCCGCCTCCGCCTCCTGAGTGCTAGCATTACAGGTGTGTGGTACCACAGCCAGCTTAGATGCCTAGAGACCCTTGCTGCTGTGTTCTTTCTTATACTCCTGGGGATCGAACCTAGGGTCTTACGTATGCTAAGCAAGTACCCTACCATTGAGCCACATCCCCAGCCCTCTCCCCCCCCCCCCACTGACCCCTCCAACCTTTTGCCATTAATTACTTTTTTTTTTTTTTTTTTTTTTTTTTTTTTTTTTGGTTTTTCGAGACAGGGTTTCTCTGTGTAGCTTTGCGCCTTTCCTGGAACTCGCTTTGGAGACCAGGCTGGCCTCGAACTCACAGAGATCCGCCTGGCTCTGCCTCCCAAGTGCTGGGATTAAAGGCGTGCGCCACCACCGCCCGGCCTACTTTTTTTTTTTTAAATTTTAAACTTTATTATGAAAAAGTTGCACAAAAAAAAAAATCACACACCAAAATCAGATTCCAAGACTATACAAATCACCGACCATCCGTATAGTTAGAGTATCCATTTGGAATGAAAGATGTAGAGCATCATATTAGATTTTATACCTCACGATATGTTTTTATGTACTGTCCATCACCCAAACCAAAAAAAAAAAAAAAAAAATCCATGACTGAGTTGGAAACTAGACAAACAATTAGCTTTGTGTCTTCTTTCACGGCATGTCCTCTGGCAGGACTCAGTGCTTCCTCACTCTATGGGAGCTCCCTTTCTCTTCCTCTGTCTGTCTCTTTCCTTCCCTCCTTTCTCTTTCCTTTTCTTTCTCCCCACTCTCTACTACCCCTCCCTTCCTTCTTTCCATCCTTCGTGTGCATACATGCCATGGCCCATGTGTGGGAGTCAGTTCTCCTACCACGTGGGTCCCAAGGATCAAGCTCAGGTCATGAAGCTTAGTGACAAGCCTTTACCTGCTGATCCATCTTGCCCCCACTCTGTCTCCCTCCCTCCTCCTCCTTCCCTCCTTTTTTACTGAGGAGTGACCCCAGGGCTTTGTATATGCTAGGTAATTACTTTAGCAGTGGGCTACATCCCCCCACCCTTTTTTTCTTTTTTACTTTTTACTTTGAAGAGGATTCTCACTAAGTTGCCCAGGTTGGCCTTGAACTTGCAATCCCCATGCCTCACCCTAGCTACTAGTGGAATTATAGGCCTACGCCACTGGCTTTTCTTAGTATCTTGAACCCTGTGCATCCAAGGAAGCCACCTTGAGTAACACGTGTCTTAAGGCCTCTCTGGTCTTGTTGAATTTACACAGAGGGGCATTGTTTCCTAGGCTTCCTGCTCAGGGGTCAGCCCACCCCACCTTGAGCCTGGTGCTTTGAGGCAGAGGTGCGAGGAATGTAACAGAGCCACTGTCCTCCCCTTTTTCTAAGATGAGAAAGTCTAGAGTCTGAGGGAACTCAGTCAGGAGGCTCGCTTTGCCCTTTAGTGGCTGTGTGATGCACAGCAAGCTCCCTGACTTCCCTGTGTCAGTCTGTCTGTGAACCAGGAAGTCCTAACGATGCACTGGATATTTAGGAGCTGTTCTCTGCAGACTGCTAATACCGCTCCTGTCTTGTCTTCACGGGCCAAGTGTCAGTAACTGCCATCTTTTCTTGGGTTGTTGCCCGAATCTCCATCCCACCTCCCGTCTCTAGCCTGTGTGATTGTCAGGGAAAGAGTTCACATACGAGCCACAGAGTGCAGTGTAGAAAACAGAATTTATCACAAAGCAAGCGCCATCAAGGCGGAGAGCAGACAACAGCCAAAGAGGCCAGTGCCTGGACCTGGACACCAGGCGGGCTTTATATTATGTCTATAACCCCCAGCATTCCTTTGAGGCCTCTGTTCTGTTCTGTGGTGGTTGATCTCTTTGGACTGGATCCCTCTGACTTCCAGGAGGAGGCTCAGTGGTGTGTCTCGGAATGATGTGTTTTTATTCTTCACTAGAAGGCTGCCCTTTTTTCATGAGCTTCAAGACTCCCTAGAGCCCATTTCAAGTAGTTGCTTCAGGTTGTCCACATTAGCCTAGGAGGTCACCTTTCTTCCCTCAGCAAGAAGAATGACTCAGGTCCCAACCTTGTGACCACCACTACCCAGCAGTCCCTGTCCTTTGTTTTCTAGCCTGCAGACTATGAGGGAGGGTCCATACCCTAAGTCCTCCAAGGCTGCTAATGTCTTAACTACCAACAGGGGCTTTAACCCAGACCAGCAGATTGAGAAGATGCTGGGGTCGGTCAGTACCTGATGCGTACTGAGTGTGAGCACACGATACTCACGTCCTGGGGTTCCTCAGAAAGCACCTCCTGGCTTCAGATGGCAGAAGATCCGGATCACACATGGAATTTGAAAAAAACCAAGACCTCAACCCTACTGCAAGAGTCGGGTTCTAGTTTAGTGGATCAGCCACGGGACATCGGCACAGATGAGAACAGCAATCTGCACTTGATTCTAATGGGAAAGACCTTCTTGTCACACATTCAACTCGCCTCCCAGGCAACTGGACCCTGGGCGGGGGTGGGGGGTGGGGGATGGGGGGGTTGGTACCAACTTTGAGAAATGATATTTGGGTGACTGGTGAGTGCAATATACAGCCACAGCTGGCAGCTGCCCTAGGCAAGGGAGGACTTGGTTACCCATCCAGTCTCTTCTCCCCTGGACTCCTCATGCAGAGAGAGGTCTGAGACCCTACAAGTTGGGTCCTAGGTAGCCCTGCTTCACAGATGACAGGCTCATGGCAAGAGGGCTGAGGATGTGGCTAATTTGTTAGAGTGTCCACCTGGCAATCACCAAGCCCCGGGTTTGAACCCCAGCACCACATAAACCAGGCATGGTGCTGTACACCGGGGATCTCAGCACGGGGGGGGGGGGAAACCGAGGCAGGCGGGTCAGAAGTTCAAGGTCATCACTGGGTACACAGTGAACTGGAGACTAGCTTAGCCCACTTGAGCCCTTGTCTCAAACAACACAACACGAAACACAATACAACAGGTAAGGTTGGGATCTGGGGGGTTCGCATCTGGTCCTACCTCATCACAAACCTGTGGTGCTTTAACAATGGCAATGCCTGCCATTTGTGCTACTGAACTTGGGGACTGGGGGACTCCCTCTCAGGTGGGTAAGTGAAGTTTTCATTCTCTGTGTGCTCCCTGACGCCTCATACCCACCCACCTTGTCCAAGAGCTTGTCTATTTTCTATGAACCTCCAAAATCCCTGGTTGCATTTACCCTACCTGGCCGCCACTCACCACTAGGTGGCGGTCATGGATCATCAGCCTAATAGGCTGCTTTGAAGGCACAGAGGTGTAAGACGCTTTTAACAGCTTGGGTGCTGGTCAAGGACAGCTAGTCCTAGCATTAGAAAGGGGCCACGACATGGCCCAGGTCCAGGAGGCTCGAGGCTCTCTAACTCACAGCCCACCTTTCTTTCTGTGGCTTCCAGTTCTTTTGAAAAGCAAGACAAACCTGGATTCTTAAGGGAACTCTAACTGAACTTCCTGCTTCAGGCTGGCATGCTTGGATGCCTCGAAGCCTAGCTGTTATCCAGGGGTACAAAGCCTATGGGAAGAACCTGTGTCTTTCAAGACACTGGCTCCTTGTTCCCAGCTGTCCTGGAGGGGACCCTCGGGACAAGACCGGAGAAGGAGAAGGATTCAAGGTTAGCATCTACTCTGAGGGCCCACGTAGAAATGCCCCAGGAGCAAGTCCAGCCGTGGAGAACTGGGGTGCTCACTCTGCTGGAGTGGACAGTAGCCATTTATTCCTGGCAGATTGTGTCTACAAAGAAAGACTGGTCAGTGGGTACAACTTCAGGGCTGCCTCTGGCCTGTAAGGCTCCCTCGAGTCTGACATCTAAGCTGCATAGGACCTCCCAGCTGGCACTGGCCTCCATTCACCTGGAGCTGTCTATCCTGGGCCTCGAGGGGTCTGAGGACCTTCAAATGCCTCCTTAAACACGAGGATCCCTAGGTTATACACAGCAGGGATGGACCCTTACAGCTCAACTCAGGACCCAGTGACTTGTCTCATCTGCAAACAGTCTCCTGTCTCATCCATTTCTGCTCCAAGTCCTTGTGTATGTAGGCTTTGTACCCCTGGGTAACAGCTGAGCTCCAAGGCATCCAAGCATGCCAGCCTGAAGCAGGAAGTTCAGTTAGAGTTCACTTAAGAATCCAAGTTTGGCCGGGCGGTGGTGGCGCACGCCTTTAATTCCAGCACTCGGGAGGCAGAGGCAGGCGGATCTCTGTGAGTTCGAGGCTAGCCTGGTCTGCAGAGCGAGTTCCAGGAAAGGTGCAAAGCTACACAGAGAAACCCTGTCTCAACCCCCCCCCAAAAAAATCCAGGTTTGTCCTGCTTTTCAAAAGAACTGGAAGCCACAGAAAGAAAGGTGGGCTGTGAGTTAGAGAGCCTAGAGCCTCCTGGACCTGGGCCATGTCGTGGCCCCTTTCTAAGATTCAGACTAGCTGTCCCTGACCAGCACCCAAGCTTTTTAAAGCATCTTACACCTCTGTGCCTTCAAGGCGGCCTACATTGTGTCCCACGTTTCTTTAATGGCTTTACTTTGACCCCTGGCCAGAACATCTTATACCCTACACCAAGCCTATCCTTCCCCACCTTTCTCAGACCCCACGCACAGTAGGGTCTT